AACACACACTGGGTTATTTTGACCCAGCAGCTAGGTCTTTTCAGGAGGCATGGCCTTTTTGGGGCGTGGCTTTCAGTTCTTTTTGGACACCCGTGAGAGCAAATATAATTCCTGTTCATCGTGTAAAATTTGTACACTGAAAATTAAAAATGTTCTTGAATATTGTTGCACGTTACATATTCTAATATACATTTCACAACATTATATTTACATATCACAACATTGAGATATGTATTATTTATCCCAACATTGGGATATGCATAGGCTCTTTAGAAAGTCAAACACTTGTAAGCCTCATTTAAACCACAAAGGTGGCAGTGTTCAACCTTAACATGTGATAACAATACAACAGAACAGATTAACATTTACTCTCACGGGTGGCCAGTCTTCAGATCTGACCTGCTGGGTCATATCTCAATAACCAAGCTTCAATAACCCATCAATGTTTAAAGAAATCAACCCAACTAAGTGTTCCAATGCCTGCAACCCAGCAGTTGGGTCATTCAAACAACCCAGCATTTTTTAGAGTGTAGTGTTCTATTCCATTTCTATGGGAATGACTATCATTGGATAGAATGGTCTCATGGTTTTCACAATTATGACAACAGGCACAAAGTGACTTTATATGAAAAGATGGGGGTAAATGGTAATTAGATATTTGGGGAACAGATGTTTGGTCTAGCAGGCTGTCTCTGAACACACACTGTATTTGAGGATGTAAAACAATTGACACGGCTAATACATATTTGTATTCAGATGACATGCTGCTGTATCAAAACGGTATGCACATGGTCCCTTTAAGGCTTACAAGCATCTGTCTCTAATACATTGCTGCTTGTAAGTGGCTCTGATTAGATGTGCATATCAGAGCGAGGTTGTTGTCCCTCTGAACTGAAGAAAGTGTTGCATAATCAGATGAGCACTCTGTGCATCTGATACTGAGTGGGGAGAGTGTTCCATCCCACCCAAACTGATTATCTCTGTCTGTCAAGACATAATCCTATCTTCATGTTTTTACTTCCTCTATATTTAAGTTGATTGATTTAATTAAATTACAGCACAGTATGTTAATACCTCTTGCCGTCTCGCTCTCTCACTCTCTCTCTCCCTCCCTCTCTCTACCCCCCCCCCCCCCCCCCCCCCCCCTCTCCATCTCTACAGCTCTAGTGGTGAGGTTTCTGACCAGACGTTTCATCTGGGAGTATGACCCAACGCTTGGTAAGACACCCTACCTCCTCCTCCTGCTCTCCTCCATCTGTACTAGGCAGTATTGAAAACAACCTGCACCACACTAGTCTTAGTGTGTTTTTCGTGCAGCACGTAAAGCACCATTCCTATGATTTTGGGTATCAAAGGCTTTATCGGACCTCAAAGGCTGTTTTGATCCAGGGATGACTGTGCTGCATTGGTCAAAGCCTTCTATCTCTGCGAGTTATCATATCAAGATATCAACCAAAATAATAATAATCACTCCATAGTATATTTCCTCCATAGCTCCTCCACACATCATACAGATTCAATTCCTGACAAAATGCCTTTTAGGTCAGGCCTGACCTTTTAAGCAAAACTACATCACAAGCCTGGTCGGTGATTTAACATGCTATGAATGCTATGTGATTATGAGACAGGGAGAGAGGCGATGCCTTAAGTTTAAGGTTTAAGGGCGAAGCATCATTCAGTCACGCCAGTTGTCGGTTTTACACTTTTCCAGAGAAATGTGTTTGACTATGGCTAAGTCAAGGTGTGCCCATTGCAGTGTGTAGAATGTAAGTGATAATCTAAGGGAATTCACTCACTGCAGGAAGCTACAGAAGATGTACAGTCTAGGTCTGTAAACAGTAGCATTTGATAGTAGCCACAGGCAAATCAGGTTCATATTTAGGCTAGGTGACCACAGCGACCGTGCAATGGGAGGTTTGTGTAGTAGGCCTACATCCTGTCATTGGATAGGAAAAGCCTATTGTGGCATGTTTTGCTTGAAGCTAGAACAATATTGGGGTTGTTCGGTTCATGGTTCGATGGCATGCTACGTACAGTCAGCCTCATTAGAAGTTGAATAACACCATGGCACAGACCGAACTGTTGGCATGGGGGAGCAGTAACATGATATAGGCATTAAGCTTCATTGCATGCAGACATTTCAATGTTATGAATGCTATATATACATATACTCCTACAAATACCAATGGCCTAAGATATGCTTATAGCATGCTGTCAAACAATTAGCTGGAAAGGGAATTGGATCCTGCAGATATTTATATTTTTTTTTCTCACTGCAAGCCAAGTCTCTGATTCCCATTGACAGTTTGAATGTGGTGCTCTTTTTGGTGCAGGCTCAAGAGCCTAGTACCAACCACAGCTTATTTCCTGACATCATCACACAAGGGTTGAATGAAAGATGAAGGCGTTGGGGAGGGGGGAGGGAGGGAGGGAGAGAGGGAGAAAGGGAGAGCTCACAGCTCTGTAAGAAACATGGACGTTGAGGAGAATATTGAATTACAACGCCGGACAGCTTAATTTCATGAAGTTTCAAAACAGGGTCTGGAAGCAATTTAATCATGTTTTTGCGAACAGTACCCAGTGTGTGTATACTTCAGTGGTTTATTTGAGTCCAGAAAACTAATATGATTTTAATAACGTGCCTTGTAGTCTACTAAATTAGACATTTCATCATATGATGATATAACCCCTAAAATGGAGCTCTCTGATTAAATCACCCCCAGGCTGTCAATCTCAAAATGCCTGTAATGAAATTAACAGCAATGTGTTTCGATTGACATTCAAGAAGCACTTCGTTTGCGTAGGTGCACAGTCTGCACACACAAATGGATTTGATAAAGCTATGATAATAAGAGGAAATCTCTACCACATCTTTCTCTTGACTTCTAAGAGACGCCATCTGCTAATTTGTTTGATCAGATTCTTGGGGGGGAATTAGACAGCCGTGCAAAATGAAGCTGTTTTACAACAGAGCGCTTACCATTTCATTTATCATATTGTTACATAATTCAACTGTAGGAATATGATGATCGCTGTTGAAACCTTGTTCTTTTTTTATGTTCCCTCAATTCTGATCTGTATTATCAGAGGTTAGGAGTTAGGATTTAACCTGTGCAAGGGGGATAAATTAAATATGATTACAAAAGACTGCTACAGTGACTAACATCAGGAAAAGCATTTTTTGGATGGAGTTTACACAATTCAATATATAAATACATAAACATACAGTATAAGCGTACCTGTTTCCCATAGTCATAGAATCTATGTCAGTGAATGAATTTTCCTGGCTTTGGACCGGAGCGTTGTCATGCTTGTTGCCATGACACCAATATTCTGACAATGGCGGCACACCCTTCTCATTGCGGCAGTCTTGTCAGGAGACTTTTCCCCCTCAGAATTAAAAAACAGAGTAATGCATTTATGTTTTTTCATATTTGGTGGTTCTCTGTTATTGTTAAATTGTAAGCTATTTATTTATCCAACTCCACCCTGCCCAGCTAACACACACAACCGCTAATATTATCTCCTCTGTACTGTAGAAAAGGAATAAGAGAATTCCATTCATTGTCACTCAATAGGAAGCATGTGAGCAGTATAATTATGTACGTTTGCTTGTCATTAATACAAAAGGTTACCTTTATGTTCATGCATATGCCGAAAGTAGCTGTGAACAACAATTTATACCCCCTCTGATCTAATCTTATTTACCTCATGAAATTAACTCTTACCAAGTCACTCCTCAATACAAGGGGCAGAGGAATCTACTACTATAAGTACTACCTACTAGAAATCTAATTTATTGAGGTCATATGACATTGCACAATAAGGGTAATAAATAGCACAGATTGAAACAAATAGGAAAGCAGCTGCTTGGCTGAATCATATCATGGATGTTTGGCAATCCAGTGAGTTAAAAACATTTCTAACAGGCGTAGTAGTTAACAAGTACAAACAGCTTGAGATGGGGGCTGATAGACGCTTCTATTGACAGATCTGTTGTTGTTTCCAGTTAATATTCTGGTATGAGACTTTCTCTTTCCGCATTTTAAAATAACACCAACAGCAGCTAGAGGCTACAGCCTCTTGCTAGGAAATGAGTTATTTGCTAGCTAGGAAAATGACTGGGGATTTGGCCCTCCTTAAGATCTTCAGATATGTAGGTTGGACCATTAGATCATCCACAAGCCCTTCTGTCCTTGCTGTCAATACCCAAACACACAGAGTAGGTGTTTGTGGTGGAGGGGTGCACTTGCACGTGTGTGAATGTGTGGCAGCTGAAATGGGATGTCGCGTGAGACTCCGTGTGAGACCCTGGCTTCGCCCCTCAGAAAGGTGAAATCCTCCCAGCTATAGAGGGCAGTAAATCAACACCCTAGCAGTCGCTCACGGCACTCTGTGACATCTCGCACGCACGCAGCGTTTTACATCCCACCTGGGTAGTGGTAGGGATGACGACACGCACAGCTAGCTAACACCCCAGCAGCGAGTTCTGGTGTTGCTGACGGTTAAAGTCCAGACACCCGCCGTCTCGAATAGTAGCCACCCACCGTGCTTGAAAAAGCATGTTTTGAACAGACACTGAGTCACAATCTGAAACTGAGCCAAAGATGAGATTTACAAACACAATAGGCTTGATAATAATGCCATGTTCTCCGGTCGAGACAGCAGTGAAATCTCTCTTTACATGGAGATCTGAAGTTTCTGTGAGTTTACACAGATGGGTTTTTTACAAGGGGCAATTCCGGTAAATGACTCCTCACCAAGGTAAAACAAAGAGTGTCATAGCCAGCGTTCACACCTGTGTCCTTCAGCCAGGTGTGTATGACCTGACCTCCTCTCATCCTATTGGTCAAGCTGCCCTGAGGCAAACCAGAGGTAATTCAACTTAATGAGGTTCATTGACTGCCTAAACAACCAGGTGGGCTCAACGGTGCATGATAGACATAAACATGTTAGCATCTTCTAATTTTATTTTCATTTAGTATTTTTGTTCTTTCCAGAATCAACATATCGGCATCAAGCAACCATAGACGATGAGGTTGTGACCATGGAGATCCTTGACACAGCCGGACAGGTAGGAGCTTCAGCAACTTTGCACAGAAAACATAGACGTTTGTGTAGAGAAATATTTATACCGTGTCTGGCAATAGAATAAGAATACTTCATAGTCAATTGAAAATCCCAATTCAACCCTACTGTATAATGACGACTTCTCAGGGCATATTCGCAGTAGCAGTCCTCGCTAGACCAAATCCTCGCTAGCGTTGCTCTGTGCTGTTCTAATCAGTCGTTGGCTAAACATATTATACTAGCCATCTGGGAGAGAACCCAGCAGCATAGGTCTTCCATCCCAAGATAAATGTGCTGCTGCTAGTACGTAGGTGTTCTGCCTGCTGCTAATTTCCCCTGTGACACGTCCAGCCAAGTCATCCTTCTCTCATTACATGATATTCTATTTTGAGAGTGCAGGGAGTGAGAGTTTAGGTGAAGGCCTAACCGAGCGTTGCTAGACCTGTCTTTCTCTGTCAGAGAGCCAGTGTAGAGTTGAGGTTTCTTCGTGCTCTTGAGCTCTTCAAAGCCGTTAAAAGTGGTGAGAGTACATATCAAGCCTTTGATTCTTGATTCTTCTTGGACCCCGAAGGCATCTTTATACCTCATAAATCAGATAAGTTCAAAAGTCGGTCAGTTATAGATGTCAAGTATCACTGTGTTCAATGTGAGTTATGCAACAGTTATTGTAACAGTGTTGTTATTGCCAATAGCAGTTGAGGTCAAGAATATCTCTGGCTCCTGCTTGCGCAAGTTTAAGACTTAATTTTTTTCATCACACGACCAGTATGTTTTGTTACAACAGGACTGGTTGTTCCGACTTGATGAAATCAGGAGCAGCTGCTGAAATTTGCACATAGTTCAGAAGGGTAGCCGACTGTTCAAATCTGGGGGATTTAACAAGTGTTATGTTGAGAAAGGAGAAATAAAGCATTTGAATCCAATACAAACATGTGCAGTCAATAATTTGCAGCTGAAAACTTGTTCACTTGTTCAATGAAGGCCAGCAGAGAACTATTGTTTCTTTGCCTTGTGGCCTATTGGTCAACATCAAAGGTCAACAGTATTCTAATTAGCTAGCTAGTTGCCAACAGATTGTCGCTAACAACATCCTTCCCTCCTGTATCTTTACATCAGGAGGACACGCAGCAGAAGGAGAGCCACATGCGCTGGGGCGACGGCTTTGTCATCGTCTATGACATCACTGACCGGGGCAGCTTCGACGAAGTGGCTCCTTTACGGGGCCTCCTAGAGGAAGTTAAGAAACCCAAGAATGTCCCGTTGGTTCTGGTGGGCAACAAGGCCGACCTGGACCATGCCCGACAGGTGGGCACGGAGGAGGGTGAGCGGCTGGCCGCCGAGATGGCGTGCGCCTTCTACGAGTGCTCGGCGTGCGCCGACGAGGGTGGCATGGTGGTGGAAGCATTCCATGAGCTGTGTCGCGAGTTGAGGCGCCGCAAGGCGGTCCAGGGCAAGGCCAGGCGCCGTAGCTCCACCACCCACGTCAAGCAGGCCATCAACAAGATGCTGACCAAGATCAGCAGCTAGGGGGAGCTGCTGAGCACACTTCACAAAGAGGATAAACTCAAGACGAACTAAAGAACAAAGTGACTGATTTCAAGGGTTTAGATGTGTGGAAATATACCAAACACCCATTCCAGCTGCTAAGGAGCAGGATGATTAAATTATGAATGAACAGCGAACCTCTTCATACTTAGTATCAATGCACAATCAATTAAGATTTGCATTGATACCTAGTGTGCGGAAAATCGCTCTTCATTCAACACTGATTCTAAAGGGGAAAGCTGTTGGCTATTATTACTTGCTCTTTGACCATGCTCCACAACTAAGGTCAGAATAACAAAGGGGAACATAAGAATCACATGATGGGAACTACTTTGTCCCCGAGGGAGGTGAAGTCCCCTGTAGTTCAGTTGGTAGAGCATTTGCGCTTGCAACGCCAGGGTTGTGGGTTCGTTTCCCACGGGGGGCCAGTATGAAAATGTATGCACTCACTAACTGTAAGTCGCTCTGGATAAGAGCTTCTGCTAAATGACGGAAAAAAAAAAAAAAAAAAAATGCTTTTGTTTCATAACCAACTGGGAGATTTCTGTATACTGCCAAGGAAGAGGGTAGGAAGAGTCTGTTATTTAGAAGTCCCAATTCTTCCTTCTTGAGCAGCATGGTGAATAGCCCAGTTTTGTATCTATAGCTCCGGCAACTTTAAACAAAATATACAAAATAATGTCCATCATGAACCCAACCTTTGTTTATCAGAAATGATGTACAGACGATTTGTAGTTTCCTCTCCCTGTAGATTGTTTGTGGGATAATGTTTTGATATGCTCTAGGCCAGTGTTTCCCAACCCTGGTCCTCCAGTACCCCCCAACAGTACACATGTTTATTGTAACCCTGGACAAGCACACCCGATTCAACTTGTCATCTAATCATCAAGCCCTCAATGAGTTGATGAGGTATGTTAGTCCAGGGCTACAACTAAAATGTGTACTGTAGTCAAGGAAACAATGCTCTAGGCCAACGGATGTATAGTTGTTCTTTGGGGAGCGTTGAAGGATTCATTGAAATATCAACAGAGTTATCATGGTCTTACGTCACTATGCCGTCCGTTTGCAGAGCTCTATAGGCCTTGGGTACTTGTTGACCTTAGACATATCCTCTGAGCTGTGACACAAGTTGTCAAATAAACAATTATTCACTATCTATCCACATGAAAAGGTCCATCATACTATTCTGACATCAAGCGATGTCTCCCCTACCCAAACCTCAACTACCATCTCATATCAAGCATAGAAGGACTCCATGTATTTGTCCAGGATTATAGAGATCCTATCTCAAATATATTCTCATCTAGAGAACCTAAAACAAGATCAAATAAGATAGAGGCTGAGCGGAGGGACACAAAGTTTTCAGTTTGTAAATCAATACTGTTTCATGGTACCGTCCGTCCAGGGGAATAGTTGCCATCTATCATTCCGGTTCACATTCCAGGGACGTTGTTTATGGACGTTAAATGTACCTTTAATTGTAAACTATGTATAATATTGCCTTTATCATTGGTCTCAAAGGAGTGTACAGTACATAACCCAGAGGCAGACAAAATGGTGGACATTTTATTTTATTTTTATTTCACCTTTAAGCCAGTTGAGAACAAGTTCTCATTTACAACTGCGACCTGGCCAAGATAAAGCAAAGCAATGCGATACATAAAAATAAAACACAGTTACATATGGGGTAAACAAAACAAAGTCAAAAATACAACAGAAAATATATATACAGTGTGTGCAAATGTAGCAAGTTATGGAGGTAAGGCAATAAATAGGCCATAGTGCAAAATAATTACAATTTAGTATTAACACTAGAATGATAGATGTGCAAGAGATGATATGCAAATAGAGATACTGGGGTGCAAATTAGCAAAATAAATAACAATATGGGGATGAGGTAGTTGGGTGGGCTAATTTCAGATGGGCTGTGTACAGGTGCAGTGATCGGTAAGGTGCTCTGACAACTGATGCTTAAGGTTAGTGAGGGAGATAAGTCTCCAGCTTCAGAGATTTTTGCAGTTCGTTCCAGTCATTGGCAGCAGAGAACTGGAAGGAATGGTGGCCAAAGGAGGTGTTGCTTTGGGGATGACCAGTGAGATATACCTGCTGGAGCGCATACTACGAGTGGGTGTTGCTATGGTGACCAATGAGCTAAGATAAGGCGGGGATTTGCCTAGCAGTGGGTTTGGCGACGAATATGTAGTGAGGACCAGCAAACGAGCGTACAGGTCACAAAACGGATGGCACTGTGATAGACTACATCCAATTTGCTGAGTAGAGTGTTGGAGGCTATTTTGTAAATGACATCGCCGAAGTCAAGGATCGGTAGGATAGTCAGTTTAACAAGGGCATGTTTGGCAGCATGAGTGAAGGAGGCTTTGTTGCGAAATAGGAAGCCGATTCTAGATTTAACTTTGGATTGGAGATGCTTATTGAGAGTCTGGAAGGATAGTTTACAGTCTAGCCAGACACCTAGGTATTTGTAATTGTCCACATACTCTAGGTCAGACCCGCTGAGAGTAGTGATTCTAGTCGGGTGGGCGGGTGCCATCAGCGTTCGATTGAAGAGCATGCATTTAGTTTTACTAGTGTTTAAGAGCAGTTGGAGGCTACGGAAGGAGTGTTTTATGGCATTGAAGCTCGTTTGGAGGTTTGTTAACAGTGTCCAATGAAGGGCCAGATTTATACAAAATGGTGTCATCTGCGTAGAGGTGGATCTGAGAGTCACCAGCAGCAAGAGCGACATCATTGATATACACAGAGAAAAGAGTCGGCCTGAGAATTGAACCCTGTGGCACCCCCATAGAGACTGCCATAGGTCCAGACAACAGGCCCTCCGATTTGACACATTGAACTCTATCTGAAAAGTAGTTGGTGAACCAGGTAAGGCAGTCATTTGAGAAACCAAGGCTATTTAGTCTGCCAATAAGAATGCGGTGGTTGACAGAGTCGAAAGCCTTGGCCAGGTCGACTCCTGTATTTTAACCAAATGCTGTTTCTTTGTTCTCCAGTGTACCCAACCTGTCTCTGAGTTTTGAGCATGGGATCAAATGGCCAAATTTGCTCTGCGATTGTAATTAAAGATTAGATACATGTATATCCAACACAAGTTTGAAAATGCCTCCTTTCTGATTAATCTGTTCCAGTATGTTGTCATGCATAAACAAATGTCATTGTTATTTTTTGACAGTCTAACAAATACACTATTAGGAGCTGCAGAACTAATATTATGGTTTATTATGGTTTAGAGTTACGGGAAATGTCACATTTGCATAATACTTGTCAATCATCATGAAAGGTGCCCTCCATGAATCGAACCATGGGGGAGCCACCCTCGAAGGCTACAAGGCAAGGGGCTATTTCTGTTAATGCTACTTCAAACCCTGCAATCCATTTCCCAATACGTCAAATACGTAAAAAAACATCACCACTTTTACCACAAAGCAAGTGTAATTCAAGTGACCCAAACTAAATTGTATTGCTTGGGCAGATAAGGAAACACAATACAAAACGCAAATCCTGTAGTCCTGAGATCGAAAACACACTAAAGTCTTGGAGAGTTTGGGTGGTGTTTAGGACTGTTCCGTCTCAGGGCGGATAGGCCTAGTTACAACGTAGTGAATCTCTCAAAATAACTGCCCCAGAGGACCACTACAACCCCAGTGCTCCTCCCTCTGGAGTCCCTACCCAGTAGCACACAGCTGGAGACAGTTAGCTCCCCATCACATGACAGGTATAGGCCTAAAGATAGATTTATAGCTCGCAGACATATGTACATTTGTCCATCCAATGACTGGTTGAATACTGCAGGCCTGTAGATAGATTCATAGCGTGCAGATGTAGGCTATATGTACATTTTGTCACACCCTGATCTGTTTCACCTGTCTTTGTGATTGTCTCCACCCCCCTCCAGGTGTTGCCCATCTTCCCCATTATCCCCAGTGTATATATACCTGTGTTCTCTGTTTGTCCGTTGTCAGTTCGTTTTGTTTCGTCAAGCCTAGCAGTGGTTTTCCCCTTGCTCCTGTCTTTCTCAAGTTCCTGTTTTCCCGGTTTTGACCATTCTGTCTGCCCTGACCGCCGTTCTGTACCTTGTCACACCACCCTGGATTATTGACCTCTGCCTGCCATGACCCTGAGACTGCCTGCCGTTTTGCACCTTTTGGACTCTGATCTGGATTACTGACCTCTGCCTGCCCTTGACCTGTCGTTTGCCTGCCCCCTGTTTTTGTAATAAACTTTTGTTACTTCAACACTGTCTGCATCTGGGTCTTCTCCTGAAACGTGATACATTTGTCCATCCAAATTATAATGGCTTTTGCTGATGTCTCATGACTGTGTATTCTTGGACACAGAACAGTTGGAGAAGAAAGATACTGTATCTATGGGATTATAATGATGACAGAACTACGTGAGTTTGAATTTCATGATCGCACATTGAGATTTGTGGTTGCAAGTACGATTCTCAAATGTGTAATTTAGTTTTGCAAGCTTGTATCATGATGTGTGAAAGATTTAACTGTTGCGAACTTGTAACTTGACATTTGAATACATTCAATAAAATTTAACAAGTATCATTTATTTTCATTTATTTATTTTCTATTTATGAGTATGAATATTCTGCTGTGAATCAAATATACACTTGCAGATTTTGAATCTGCTCACACTCGGAGTTCTGTCACTTGTCACATTACCAAGAGATTTGTAAGCTTGTAGAAAGTTTTGTACTTTTGGAGAAAGAGATTCGCAAGTAAAAAATGTATTTGCACTCTGGGGGCAGGACCTTTTACTCCTGACCAATCAGTTCCCTCTGCCAAAACCACAGCCACCTAACCATTGGCTAGATTGTTCCATCAATCAAATCTCAGGTAGTACCTACCCACATGAGCTCGCTAAATTGAAACTGCTGGGGGAACGCTAGCTAGCTAACACCCACCATCATCACTGCAGTGTAGCTAATGTTAGCTAGGTTTCTTGAA